TAAGAGAGGTGAAAAACCTTAAAATAGTTTCAGGGTGACTAGGTGATAAAAATAAACAACTGATCCACTAGAATCCCTGTCTCTGAAAAACCAATAACAATAAAACTTTTGAAATCAGATAGTCCTGGTTTCATATCCGAGCCCTTCTAACCTTCCTGCTCTGGAATCTTCAATACGTTATGTAACCCTTTTCAGTCTCGGTTTCATCCATCTGTGGAAGACAATAACGAAAACCATGCAGAGTTGTTGTGTGGATGGAGGGAGTAACATGTATGGAAATTGAGGCAGATAGTCCAGGTCGACATATGCGGTGCATGTGCCTAGAGCTGAAATACTGAAAGTCCCAGCCTCTCTTGCAACTACCCCTGTCCATGTGATTTAGTCCTGACCAATGACACCGGAACAGGAGTCTGTCCATATTTCCTCGTTTCCTCCCTCTTTCCACTGGAATCCTGGGCCGAAACTGGAGACGCTTTGCCACCAGGATGTTTGAGCAGGAAGACAGGGGCCTGGGGACTCGATGGCACTGTGTATTTGTCATCCAGCCCTGAACTGCCCACCTCCTAATTTGCTATTGCTTGAGATAAACAAGCACCTGTTTGGCTAAGCCCCCATGTCAGGTTTCTGTTATAAATCAGCCAAACACTAGCCTGACAACATAAACCTTGTGCATGCTTAACAAAGATTGTTTGTCAATAATCTTTAACAAATATTAGTCCCCTTAGTTTCCTTCTATTCAAAAAGATACATGGTTAGGAGAATAATTACAATAATATTAATAAATTAAAAGGCAAGCTACTAAATGCTACAGATCATATAGTATGATCCAAGTTTCCTTAGGCTGGGTATGGGGAGCAACTGTTGTGAGACTCAGGGATCTTCAGGAGCTCAGAGGGTTCATTTTAACAAAGCCACGTTGACAAATCTACTTGAAAATTTCCTGCTGGGTTTTTTATGGGCCAAGAGAACAGTAGGTTCAGGCTGAGTGGAACATGTCAGGGAGCTTATGGTGACCAGAAGAGCTGGAAATGAGTGTCCATTTGGGATGCATTAATGATGTTTTGTGATGCTTTACATATGTCCTTGGGTGGCTATTCTAAGGGAAAATGTGATTTTTCTGTGAAACTCTGTGATTTATACCACATGACGACTAGGCACAATGTAAGAGAATGATGAGCCAACCTTGTTTTTATTACACCAAAAGGAAATATATTTCAAATTATTGTATCAGCACAGATGTGGTTTCTAACCTTTCTGCTACACCCTCACTCATTTCTAAGAAAATTTATGGTCTTCCTGAGCATAAATGTGTTTTAGGTCAAAACACTATTCATTCGGTAATATTTACAGATATGGGACTGTGTGGGGTTAAAAGGGACAGTTCCCAGCAAAGCAGGAAGAAGTGGACCCCAACCAGGGGATGGGGAGAGTCACACAGTAGGAGGCCATCACACTGTCCCCTCCAAACACACAAAGAATATTCTAGAAAACCTATGTGAGGGTTAAAATTCTGCCCTTCATGCCTAATGATATTTAACAAATATTTCACCAAAATACAGTTATACAGCCATTTGGAAATAGTTGCCTCAATACGTGCTGCGTGGTCTCAATAGCGCAGGCAAGGGCACCGCAGTTGTCCAGCCCAAGTGCGATGCAGAAAGGGAGCCCTTGGCAAACATGAGCAGCTGGAAGAGAACATCTGCATAGGAAGCCCTGCACTAGGCACAGAACTGAAAATTGCTCTTGCTCCTCAAAAGCCCACAGGGGAAGCTTTGTGAGATCAGCAGAGAAGGGCTTTAAGAAAACTGTAATAATTTGTTACATATATATCTTCACATGAGACAGAACTGAATGAATTTGATACCAAAGCTATGGGGTGTCATGGGAGGCCCAAACAAGAGCTGATAATTGTAATTGAGGAGATTTGGTGTGTCATCTCCACGTGCCCATCATCTTAAGGGGACCCTCCTGCACTCTGCCTCGCTGTCAGGACCTGCTAATTCACAACACACAGAGCATCTTTGATAGCATGTAGGCAACCACCACCACAACAACGAAACAGCGAGTAAAAGTAGGCAAAGGAACAAAAACAATAATAATGATGGCTAATATATACAGAGCATTTGGGGGGAAATGTAATACTATATAACTAAAGTAAATATATTAAAATATATAATTAAAGGTGCAATATAAAATTATACATCTGAGTTAGAGCATGAGTGATAGGGAATGATTTTGCTGAAACTCTGGGAAAGGACCTCAGCCATATCACCCCGAATGCACCAGATCTTGTCTGATCTTGGAAGCTAAGCAGGGTCAGGCCTGGTTGGTACTTGGATGGGAAACGCAGGGAAAGAAGGGACACTTCATTTAAATGACCACATTTAGCCCAGCCCACTCACCCGCTTTTCTGTCTAATCGGCACACGTATAACTTCTTCCCAGGAGAAACATGATGGAAGCATTTCAATAACTGGCAGCTTAGCTTCCAGGTCTCAAACTAGAAATATTTCACTAAGAAGTAACAGTGTGGTGGGAGGGGGGATACACTCCATCCTTCTTGGTGATGTAAACTGATTTTGCAGGATTGCTATACATGAATTTGTCATTTCAGAATCTCAGCAGAAAAATACACAACTATTTTAAAAGTCTACCCACTGAACTGGTTCAGCCATTTGTGTTGCCTGCAGGCACGCACACGGTGATGAAATGACTTCTGCTTCCTAAGAAAAAAAGCAGTTGTTGTCATCAGTAAATGATTCCTTGGTCTTTCAAATGGCACAAGAGGCACATTGTTCTGTGCACGCACTTAAGAAGGAAATGTTTCCTGCTATCTTCCTGCTGCAACTAACAGATAAGATGGGAAGCTAGTTTGCATTTCTTCAACCGTCTCTTTTCTTCAAATCTGTTTTCCAGCACAAAGTTAGAAGTCGGTTTGTCTGACCAAAAGCCCTCGTGTGTACCCAGCCTATTTTGGATTTCTTTACATTTTTTTTTCATTTGATGAGTTGTTAAAGCGATTGCTTCCTTATCTCTTCTTCAATTCATAGTGAGTTGATACCAGGTTTTGAACAAAAAGGCTACTGTGGATTGGCTTGTTCACCCTCTAGTCCATCCTTTTTCTAGCTCCCTGCTGAAGCTTGATTTAAAAGCTGCCTCTCCCAGACTGCGAAACTACTCTTGTTCCAGATGTAAATTAATTGTACCCATTAGATGCACTCCAGGGAGATTTGGAAGGTGGGGGTGATTCGGAACCCACCTTCCTGGCCCTGGTTCTGTTGGAGGTAGTTTTGGCCACGGCAGCTGGGGTTTTCTAACCCCTAAACCACAGTTACTGCTGTAGGTTCCTGAACTAAGTAATTCCAGAAGCCACCTCCTGACTCCCACGTCTCCATTCTTCTAATGATTTTTAAGTTCCTAATTCCCAATATGAAATATCTTTCTGTGAAAAAATACCTAGGAAGACTTCTGTTCCTTGCTTTACACCTTGACTAATATAATTATATTCTTCATTTCCCTATCTGAAGATGCAACCAAAACAACACTAATACCTAACACTTACAGAATGCTTTGTAGTCTCCAAAGTACATGCACGTGAAGTATCTGCATAAATCCTGACCCCAACTCCAAGAACTGGTGGGATGGGCTGCTCTCCCCATTGTACAGATGAGAAAGCTAAGTTTTCTGAGAGTTTTCTCACTCTCATTCATTTGTCTCAGGAGAGTTAGCTGACTTAGGAAGGCATTTACTTAGTAAGAAATGGAGATGAAACTCAATCCCACATTTTATGACTTTTTTTGTCTTTTTAAATTGTAGCTGACATAAAAAGGACACCAGTTTCAGGTGTACCACCCAGTGATTTTGATTCCCAATCATGTCCTTTGACACTAGAAAGCCTCCTAAGGGCAAATGAAAAAGAATAAGCACATGAACACTGGCAATGATTAAGCCTTTTACTTCCTATGGAAAAATGGAAATTAAAAAATAACTTACAAGTACACTCATTTTAATGGTCTTACATTAAATCAGAATAAAACACCTAAGGACAAAATAGAAAATATGGGCTATTTCACAGAGTGTGACTTGGGATCCAGGAAAGCCTGTGCCTCAACTTTACAGGGTCCCTCCTTTGAAGACTCTTTGCTGTTAATCCAGACACATGAAAGGTTCCATCCCATTTTCTAACTCTGGCCACGAATTTTCCTTCTGCACAACCATCTGGCCAAAGCAAGAGCGGGTAGAAGCTTTGGGAAGGCCAAGACTCATTTCCCCATTACTCCCTAATGGCAATTTCACCTAAGATCTACCCCCCTCTCCAACTTGGGCTCCCCCCAAAAGGAAGATTTCCTTTTTCCCTACTTGCTATATAGACATAATTTTTTTATAACTTAGTAAAACATTTTTTCAATGCTCAAGAAACCAAGAAGAAAAGCAGTAAGTAGCCAGGGCTCGTTTTAGACAACTTGAAAAGTGGTCAAATTCTTTCTTTCCACATCCGCCCCTCCTCCTCTTCACATCAGGAGTCTAACCACAGGGTGAAGGTTCAAGAGCTCTGAGAAGCAAAACTTCTGACCACATGGTCCCCACTCCCTGAGAACATCAGCCTGAGAAAGCTCAGCCCTGCAAATCTCTGAGATCACTCCACAGCCAACCTCGAAATACTGGAATTCCACAATCCCTGTCCTTGCTTCCTTTGCTGCGTGCTTCCTTCAGTCTCATATGACTGAAATCAGAAAGGGTCAGAAAACTATCACTTTATAGCATCTTAATTCTGCTCTTGCATCAAAACATTATATGATTCCTTTGCATATAATGCAAAAGGAATTTTTGCATTATAAGAAAAAAACACACAATAAAACTATAAAGAAAAACATTTAAAATTAAGAAGAGAAGAAGGAAGATGAAAAAAAGTAGATCTGATTAGACAAATTTAATTATATCTTTTCTATAAAATAAGACATATAAGAAACTACATGGAAAGGCAACAAGCTCTATACTAACCTGGGGGAAGAGAGAATAAGTTGAATTGTCAATGGTGAATGAGTATAAAAACTCCCCATCATACCACATGCTCTTCCCCATGGGAGAATTCATTTTAGTCATAGCAAAGAGATGGGCGGGGTCACAGCAGTCTTCCATCTGTTTCCTAGGAGAGAAAATAGAGAGAAAAAGGAACAGCAGGTTAAGTGAGCAGCAGCCTCATTCACTTGTCATTCCCACAGAGATGTGCAGCCTTACCTCCGCGCCAACTCGCAAAAGCATCTGTGTCTCCAGGGTGATTAGATTACTATTAATTCATTCTTTCAGCCACCAGAATGCATGACTGGAATTTTTCATAATTAAAAAAAAGTTTAAGAAAAATGCATCAGCTCTCAGATGCAGATGAACTATATCCAAAAGTAGAAATAATCATAATTGCATGTTGATTGATTGATTGATTGATTGATTCAACATCCAGTTCCAGAAGGTGGCTAACTTTGGAAACTGCTGAGATAGTCCGCTACAGCAGAAATGCATTTTATGTGATTTAACAATCAGGTAGTTAGGTTCAGTGATGAGGGACTTTACAGGAGCTGTGTGGAGTAGAGAATGCACCCAAAAGAGGGTGCACTACCCATCTAGAGACAAGATTCAAGAACAGCTCCTGGGAAACTTAAAAATAGAAGCAAAATGAGATGGGTGATGTGATTTCACACACTAGTGGAGCAACCTGCCTTCTAACTGGTAAACCCCATGGGGCTTTGCAGTTCTCATTCTGTCTTAACTCTCAGCAGTGTTCAACACGGTTGAGCAATGTGACCTTCGAGAAGGTCTCCTCACTCCCTTAGTGTCTAGAACACCAGGATCTCCTGAGTCACCTCACCCTTCCGTGCAGGCTGCTCCTCTACTTGGCCCCCCAGTGTAAGCTCTGATAATGTTCTACAGGCCAGTCTTTATATTCCTCTCTAATCAAAACCAATGCCATTTACTCACTGAGCTCTCCTGAGTGAAAGAGCACACTCCCTAGTTCCACCTCTAGCAGGACCTACTGACATAAAAACCACTTCTGAAGACAACCCCACAGAGACATGCTTGCTCAGACATTTTTGCTACCCATGGAACAGAAGCTTAGAGCTGAAATGGGATGGTAACGTGGAGCACTGGTTCGAGTCCTGCCTCTGCCATTTACTAACTCCATAACTGGAGAATGTTAACTGGGATTCAGAACTGGCCTCAGAGACTGTTTCTGAGAATTCACTGAGAATGTGCAAGTGGAAAACATAGTAAAAGTTTAGTACAGGTGCGATAACCCCAACCTCCTTGTAGAGATGAATAAACTGATTCAGTGTTAGGCCACAAAACAAGTCTTAGCAAATTCAAAGAGATTGAAAGGGACTAAGTATCTTCTCTGACCACACTGGCCTGAAACTAGAAATCAATAACAAGAGAAAAACTAGACAATTCATGAATACATGGAAATTAAACAATACTCTATTGTACAATCAATGGATCAAAGAAGAAATTAAAGTGAAAATTAAAAAAGTCTATTGATACAGCTCTGACTGGTATAGCTTGGTCAGTTGGATGGTGCCCTGCAAACTGAAAGGTCACTGGTTCAATTCCTGCTCAGGGCATATGCTTGGATTGCAGGCCACATGTCTGACTGGGGGCATGCGAGAGGCAATTGATTGATGTTTCTCTCACACACTGGTGTTTCTCCCCCTCTTTTTCTCCTTCCCTTCCCTTCTCTCTAAAAATAAATAAATAAAATATTTTTAAAAGTTTATTGATATAAACAAAAATGGAAATATAACATACTAGAACTTGTGGGATATAGCAAAAAGTAGTTCAATAGAGAAGTTCATAGCAATAAATGCCTACATTAAGAAGCAAGAAAGATCACAAATAAACAACCTAACTCTACACCATAAGCCATTAGAAAAAGAACAACGTTGGCAGAAGAAAGGAAATAACATAGACTACAGCAGAAATAAACACAATAGAAAACAGAAAAACAATAGAAAAAATCAACCAAAGTAAAATTTGGTTATTTGAAAAGATGAACAAAATCAACAAGCCCTTAGGAACAACCAAGGGAAAAAGAAAAAGAAATATAAATGAAACCAACAAAATATAAATGAAAAATGAAACTACAGCTGATACCACAGAAGCTCAAAGGATCACAAAAGGCTGCTATTACCAATGATACACCAACAAACTGAACAATCTATAAGAAATGAAAAAATTCCTAGAAACACACAATTCACCAAGACTGAATCAGGAACAAATAGAAAAATCAAAGTAGACCAGTTACTAATAAGGAGATTAAACCAATAATCAAATACCTCCCAAGGAAGGAAAACCCAGGAACAGATGGCTCCACTGGAGAATGTACCAACATTTAAATATGAATGAACACCAATCCTTCTCAAACTCTTCCAAAAAAATTAAAGAGGAGGAAACACTCCCAAACTCATATAATGAGGCCAGCATTATCCTGATTCCAAAACCAAAAAAGGATACTAAAAAAAAAGTGTGGGCCAAAAATCCCTCATAAATATAGATGCAAAAACTCTCAGTAAAATACTAGCAAACTCAACTTGGCAGCACATTAAAAAAATCATACGCCACGGTCGAGCAGGATTTTTCCCTGGGATGCAAGGATTGTTCACGATATGCAAATCAAGCAATGTGATAGACATTGATTAAAAAGAAAAAAAAACATATAATCATCCTAATGGACACAAAAATAAACAACAAATGCAACAAAATTCAACATCTACTTAAGATAAAAAAAAAAACACTTTAAAAAGCAGGTATAAAAGGAAATTACCTCAACATAATAAAGGCCAAATCTGACAAGCCCAGACTTAACATCACACTCAGTGGTGAAAGGCTTAAAGTTCTTTCTCTAAGATCAAGAACAAAACAAGAGTTCCCACTTTCACCACTCTTAACATAGTCTTGGAAGTCCTAGCTAGAGCAATTGGGGAAATAAAATGCATCATAATTGGAAAAAAAGAAGTTAAACTGTCTCTATTTGAAGATGGTGTGATTTTTTATATCAATAAATCCCAAAGACCCAACCGAAAAGCAATTGGGTCTAAAAAGTAAATCCAGTAAAGCTGCAGAATACAAAATTAACATGCAAAAACCAGTGCTGTTTCTATACACTAACTACAAATTCTCTGAAAATAAAAAAAGAAATTGATCCCATTGATGACAGCATCAAAAACAATAAAATGCTTAGGAATAAACATAACTAAGGAAGTAAAAAATCTCTATTCTAAAAACTGCAAGACATTAATGAAAAATGTCAAAGAATACACAAATAAGTGGAAAGGTATCCCATGCTCATGAATCAGAGAAATTGTCAAATTGGCAATACTACCAAAAGCCATCTACAGATTTGTGAAAGTCGACCTAAGTAGGGCCATTTTATAAAGGAGCCAAAGCAGCATAGGAAATGCAGTCAATAATATTGGAACAGCTGTGTATGGAGTCAGGTGGGTACTGGATAAATCAGGGGGATCACTTTGTTAAAGTATATGATTGTCTAACCACTGTGCTGTACACCTGAAATTACTGCAAAATAATATGGAATATAAACAGCTATTTAACAAAAGAGTTTAAAAAAATAAACAAAATAAAACTCAAGTTAAAGGGCTACAGAAATGTGAAATAGTAGTCACTATCATTTAAAGGAAATGGAGAGGTTAATACTTAGATTTCATTCTTTCAATATGCACTTCTTCCTATCTCTTTAGAACACGTCCTGGAAAATATATGCCCCTGAGGGATTTTATTCATCTCTCAAATTTAGTGTAGCACTGTTGACAGACTATAGATTGCCACCTGTTTTTGTAAATTAAAAAAAAACCACCATAGGTAAATTATTTCTCAATAAAACTGAAATAAAGCTCCCTGGGTTTCCAGTTCCTACTGTGGACCTTGACATCCGGACCCCTCCATGACCCAGCCACTCCTCTTTGTCATGATCCTCACCTTGGTCATCTAACCAAGGCCACACTGTGGCACAGCTCAGTTTTAAACCCTGACCTAACTCCAGGCACTCTGGTCTTAACCAATGCCCCTTTACTCTATCCCACTTGAACTTGTGTTGTTTCCAGGGCTGTCTCCCTTACTGCCTCTGATGGCAGGGACTGTGTCTGGTTCATCAGCTAAGAAACAGTTTATACTTATTAAGAGTGGTCTAGATAATTTGGACAAACTATCAAAAAACAATTAGAGGTCCTGGCTGGGTAGCTCAGTTGGTTAGGGCATTGCCCCAATATGCCAAGGTTGCATGTTCAATCCTGGGTCAAGGCACATACAAGAATCAATTAATGAATACATAAAGAAGTAGAATAACAATTCAGTGTCTCTCTTTCTCTTTCAAATTAGTAAATTTAAAAACAATTAGAAAAGCTGGACAAAAAACAAAATCATTTTGAGAGCATCTGAGAATTAACAAGGAGTAAAAAAAAATGAGGTCAAGATCTAGGAGAATAAAGAAACTTGGAAAGGGCAGTCCCACATTTAGGACTCCTTTGTTGGTAAGGGCATCTGGTGGTGGTTCTAGAAGAGGCAGCTGAAAGGCTGAAAACCTGAGCAAAATTTCCAAAAGACTTTTGGAACTGGGGACATGAAAACTGGAGTTCAAAGGATGCCAAGGAGATGTGGTCCTGATAAAATCCCTTACTTTTTTGGTTGGTATAGATACCTTAAAAGTATGTGTGTACTAGAAATAGACCAGCCCTTGAAGGAACTGAAGCCCCACTTTGAATGATTCAATCTCTGGCTGGACTGAGATCATTCAATTATACCCTCGCTGTCTGAAGATAACATCATCTTAGTCCTCAACTGTCTTCTCAATTTTCAGAAACAATGTCTGACACATCATTAAAACCACCCATATATAACAAAGAAACAAGAAAATGTGATTAAAATTGAGAGGAACAATAGACAATAATAGCCACAAAACAGGGATAAAGATAATGAAGTTTTCAGACAGAAACATTAAAATAATTGTGCTTAATACGTTTGAAGAAACAAAAGATCGTGAATTTTAACAAACAAATGGAAGCTGAAAAAAGAGAAACATAGGAAGAAGCCACCTGTAAATATTTGTTGAAAGGAAAGGCCAAGTTGATGAACCTTGTTCAA